TTATAAGGTATTTGCATATGATTATTATTACTAAATAAATTATTGTTTTGTGCAACAACAAAAATATAGTTAAAGTGACAATAAAACTGTTACAATATAAACATGGTTAACATAACAGTAAATATGGCTGTGCCTATACTAATCAGAATGTTTAGTAAAAGTTACTATATATTCGATTAAGATAACCATTGTTTTTTCTCAGTGTATATGTTCAAACGAATATTATTATAGCAATAACATTTTTTTTGAGCAAAAAATACAGTTTATATGATTATTTCAAAACCAGTCGGTATTAACCCGTAACCGGTACTGTGGTGTCTGGGAGACACTTATCAACGAACAAAGCCCTGTCCCACCCTCACCTTTTGTTTTAAAAATCTGTCGCTTCCAATACTTTTAAGTTGAGCAGTTATCAATATGCTCTCAGACTTTGAACAAGTTGGATTGTCAAACGGACAAATTATTTCAAGTCAAAGTGTTGAGGTGTCTAGTAGACCACTGTGTACCGTTTACGTAATTTTTATAAAACAATTAATTCGTTATGGATTCGCAACTAGGGCCTTCTTAAAGTGTCCAAAGTAATAAGAAGGGCTTCAAGGAAACTGTAATGTAGTGGTTTTATGAAATCTACAGCGATATAAGTGACATAGATGACTGTAGTATACTACATAACCATTATATTGATTATGTCGTTGAAGATATAATCACAGCAGCGATTCAGGACTTGTCTGTGAGGAGTCTATAGAAAATAATTTAATAGGGTCAGATAGTGAAGAATTTGAAATTTTTTAAGAATTTGAAAAAAAAAAACAAAAAAGTTACTATGGAAAAAATAATTTTAAAAATCAGCTATAGTTTGAAGCAGTTATTTTTGCTGTTAAAAAAAGATAAATTTGAATTTTTTTTGTTTATGTTATTTTTTAAGGTATTTTCTTTGAAATAAAGATCGTTTTATTTTGTTTGGTTTAATATTTTTATAGTTTAATCACTAAGTTTGCACTACTGCACTTTTTGTACATGTTTTGATTAAAACCTATTTGTTTAAATTTTTCTTTTATTTAGGTATTATTTTTGGTGATATTCTAATTTTATATATAGTTCCTAGTATCCCCAAAGCCTCAGATAAAAAAAATAATATAAATTATAATTTTAAAAGGCAGGTGTCTCTCAGACCCCTTAGTACCGTTTATGACCTGAAAGTCGTACAGTACCGGTTACGGGTTAAGGTTAAATGCTATGTTCAAACAAATATTATTATAACAAGATTTTTTAGAGCAAAAATACAGTTTTATGATTATTTCAAAACCAGTTGGGATTAAGATTATATTGTTAGAATCAAGGATTTCGATAAGGGGGGGTAATGGGGGTAATTAGTAATCTTGGGGGGTAATTACTAATTCTTATTACTAATATCTTGGCAAAAAAAAATTACTACAAATATAATTTATGAATGCAAGTCGCCCTCTATGAATAGTTTTTAAAGTGTGGCATAAAAAAAGAAAAGTAAAGACTTGGCTTCGGGCTTCTATACTATAGAATCTATAGGTTATATACAAAAAGTAAAAAGTTATATACAAAAGTGCTCTTTTAGTTCCACCCTTACTTCTTAAGAAGTCCCATAAGCCAACTGAATGGCTTGTGCGGGTTAGGGGTAGGAACGGACCGCGGGCTTAAAGTCCCCTCCGAAGGACTGTTACATAATAGGACAACACAGGTGAAGAAAGACTAGTAGGATTAGCATTGTTACATGTACATAGGGATATAAAAATAAATATAGAAAATGAATAAATATAGATAAAGTTTTGGAACGTTTTGCAAAAATGAAAAAAAGGCATTTGAATTTTATATTTAAAAGGTATACCTTAAGTATACTTAAAAAAGAATATATATTTGTGTTTATGAGATATTTAGTTTTGGTACCTTATAATCCCTTTCCCCAATATAAAAAAGCAAATAAACAATAAGAAGTTTTGCATTATTTTCCTTATATGTTACCCCCCCCCCCCAAAGAAAAAAATATCGACGCCCTTGGTTAGAATGTCCTATAAGAAACATTTTTAGGTTTTCCATTAATCTCATTCAAATTTGCGACTATTTTTAGAATAGGCTTCCCTGATTCGTGTGCCTAATCGTGTTTAATCGCATAAATCGAGTTAAAATTTGCAAATTGTGGTCATTTTCGCAGGAAAAGCGAACAAACGAGCAATAAACCAATAGCATGTTTTCACTTTTATTTTAGCTAAACAGTGAATTAAAATTCAGCTCGATATTCGTTGTCCGACCGATGAGTCACTCTTTTTTCCTGGAGCTTTCGCTTACAACAAAACGTTTCAGTTACAAAAAACAATGTTCCATAAAAAAAATTGCTGATTCAAATAATAATTTACTATGAAAGTCAGAAAACCTATATAATAATAAAAAAGTTGCAGTGCAATAGTTTTAAATCTTAGATTATTAGAATTTGTAAATAAACGAAATTTCAGATTGCTTTAAAATAAACATAATTTTCAAAATGCAAAATAATATTATACAAGGTGTTTCAAAACTTCCCGCCTTTAATATATCGACAACTGAAAATTAAAAAAAACCGCTTGAACACCTAAAAATTATAGTGCAAAAAATCATTCATCTTTACCCCCTGTGCCCAGGAGCTACCCCCTTAAAAATCTTTAATGGAAAAGGATATCAAATAAAACCTTATTTTGAAGGCCTTTCAAATCCCTACTTTTAGGCGTATTATAATATACAGTGTGACCCATTTGTTTGCGGCTCACCCTTGTAAAATCTTTTTTTATTGTGAGGTTTTAACAGGATTTGTTTTAAAGTGTAGATCTTGATAAACTGCATTTTTGAAGCAAAAAACGCCATATTTGTACAATATACAAGGCCTACTATGTCAGTTTTTAAGATTAAATTTTTAAGAATTCATATTAGCGATATATAGTAATAGTACTATGTTACTTTTAGTTTCATTTTATTTCAATGTTTTTTTCATGGATTACTTGACAAAAAAAAATTGTAGTTATTATTATCGGGCATTTTTCTACTTAAAATTTTTCAATTAAATTTAGTAGTCGTTTTGAGGGGTGGTGAATCCAGTGCCGTGCTTAGATTTTGTTTAAAAAAATCGCTAATATGAATTCTTAAAAATTTACTCTTAAAAACTGACTTGTATTTTGTAAAAATATGGCGTTTTTGCTCCAAAAATACAGTTTATTAAGATCTACACTTTTTCCTTTTATCCTTATCTCGATTAAATGAAGAATACTTTTATGCAATCTGAATTTTTTTTATATTTGTAATTTAAGATTAAAGATTAAAACTATTACACAGCAACTTTTTTGTTATTATACCTATATTTTTTTATGACTTTCATAGTTATTAATAACTTATTATTTTAATCAGCAAATTTTATTATCAAACATTGTTTTTTGGAACACAAACGTTTTGTTGCAAACAAAAGCTTCAGAAAAAAATAGTGACGCATTGGTGGGACATCGAATATTGATCGATATATTTTTATTAGGGGGTAAAGGTGGACTCAATTTTTCCGTAAGAAGTTGCTACCCCTCAATAACATTTTGTAGGTGTTTTTCGAAAAATTTACGATTGAAAGTTTTAAAATGAAGAAATGTTATTATATAATAAAAATAAAGAATAAAATATCGATGCTCTATTGTTTATAGAACCTATCTATAAATACATTTTATTAGCAATACGATTTGGTATTTTTAAGGGCGGAGCAAAAAACCTATTATAATCTTAAATTTTTAACTGTTTACATAGGTATGCATTTATATATAAATATAAAATATATATAATATAAATATATTTAAAGATACGTTTTGTTATAGCAATAGGCCATTGACATACCCCCTGGTCAAGTTTAAACCTCATTAATTTTAGAAAATGAGTGCATCTAAAAAACATTACTTAAAAATGTTTCCTTACAGATACAGGCCCTCAAAAAAATTTAAAAAGGGTTCTTATAAAACAACATAAACAAGGCATCTAGCAGCTAAGTAAGCCACAAACTGCCAAAAAATACATCTTTGAACCATTTTAAAGTCCAAGACTACATATATTTTAAAATTTGTAGTATTTGTGTTCCTGAACCTATAATATTAAATATTCCAGAAACAAAGAATAACTAGACATTACATTATGGGCAAAATCTAATGAAAATTGTTCGACGGCCTGTATCTTTGTTGCCATATCAGCTCTTAAAATTAATGACATTTACAGTGGACCACCCTGTATATTATTTATAAAGAAAACATTTATTAGTTCACAAGTTTTTTTAAAACACCAACTTTTGCCATTTTAAGCTAGAGCTAAAAAATTTTTGTAAGAAATTAATTTTTGGGCTGGTGCTAATTGATTTAAAAAATCATTGTTAAAAAATTCTAGCAAAAATAACTTTTTAAATATTATTAAATTGTTAGGGTTAGGGGTGCAGTTGGCTGTGAATATCTAGTTTTAAAAATTCAGTTTCATGTTCCCAGGAATAACTCAAGAACTTCTGTCTCCTTTCAAATTCCCACTGCCAGAACAAATATTTTATCAAAATGGAAACGAGCTATTAGTTGATATATTTAAATAATAAGAATATTGTTTTTTCTTTTTTTATTTCTAAATTTTTGTTTGATATACTTGTTAAATATATTTGATTTATTTATACCATTGTCCTGTAATTGGGAGAATCTTGTTGTGCAATAAAGATTATTATTAATGAAAGATATTTTACTCAACGGTTTTATTTTATAAGAAAATATAACTTACCTTATACTTTAGGTTGTGGAGTATCTGAGGTCATGTAGCATTATCTATTAATTTCTGATTTATTAAAGGGGGATCTTTCCTTTTGACCTCAGAAATAACCTGTTGATTGTTTTAGTAATTTTGTATTACAACAGTAGTTATTTAATATATTAATGAAGCAGTTTAAAAATTGAAGTATTAGAAAAGCAAAGGAATTAAAAGGATGGTTAAATTGGATGGGCGAATAAAATGCTATTTGTAAATAATGAATGGCAGCAGGTTTTAATGCCTATTTCCTTAAAAACAAAATATGCAAAAACACGTTAATAGAAATGATCAAAAACACTGGATAGCAACAAAAAGTCAGTCTTGAATAAGTTAAGTAATGTATTCGAATTTACAAATCGGAATGTAAAGACTGTACAAAAAACTGCGTAGTAATACAAAATAATAAAAACATCTTTTAAGCGATTTCAGATCTCTGTCTTTAAAATTAGTTTTCGTCAACTTCGGCTTCTTGTTCTTCATCGAACTCGGCATCTTCGTCGGCGGTGGCTTCTTGGTACTGTTGGTATTCAGATACCAAATCGTTCATGTTGGATTCAGCTTCAGTGAATTCCATTTCGTCCATACCTTCTCCGGTGTACCAATGCAAGAAAGCCTTACGCCTGAACATAGCAGTGAATTGTTCGGAGATTCTCTTAAACAATTCCTGGATGGCGGTGGAGTTACCGATGAAGGTGGCGGACATTTTCAACCCTCTTGGTGGTATGTCACAGACGGCAGTCTTAACGTTGTTGGGAATCCATTCGACGAAGTAGCTGCTGTTCTTGTTTTGGATGTTGAGCATTTGTTCATCCACTTCCTTCATCGACATCCTGCCTCTGAAGACGGCGGCGACGGTCAAGTAACGGCCGTGTCTGGGATCACAGGCGGCCATCATGTTCTTGGCGTCGAACATTTGCTGGGTAAGTTCTGGTACTGTTAAAGCTCTGTATTGTTGACTTCCGCGGGATGTAAGTGGAGCGAAACCGGGCATGAAGAAGTGCAGACGTGGGAAAGGTACCATGTTGACGGCCAACTTACGCAAATCGGCGTTCAATTGACCAGGGAACCTAAGACAGGTGGTGACTCCAGACATTGTCAGAGAGACTAGATGGTTCAAATCTCCGTATGTTGGGGTGGTGAGTTTCAAGGTTCTGAAGCAGATGTCATAGAGAGCTTCATTATCGATACAGTAGGTTTCATCTGTGTTTTCTACAAGTTGATGTACGGAGAGGGTGGCGTTGTAAGGTTCGACTACGGTGTCTGATACTTTGGGTGAGGGGACAACTGAGTATGTGTTCATGATTCTGTCGGGGTATTCTTCTCTGATTTTGGAGATGAGCAGGGTTCCCATACCAGAACCGGTACCACCTCCAAGGGAGTGTGTAAGTTGGAATCCTTGCAAGCAATCGCAAGACTCGGCTTCTTTCCTTACAACATCTAATACTGAGTCGACTAATTCAGCTCCTTCTGTGTAGTGACCTTTGGCCCAGTTGTTACCGGCGCCGGATTGTCCAAAGACAAAGTTGTCTGGGCGGAAAATTTGTCCGAAAGGTCCGGAACGGACAGAGTCCATGGTACCGGGTTCCAAATCGACCAAGATAGCTCTTGGCACGTATTTGCCACCGGAGGCTTCATTGTAGTATACGTTGATTCTTTCTAATTGAAGATCGGAGTCTCCGTGGTATGCTCCGGTGGGGTCGATACCGTGTTCGTCGGAGATGATTTCCCAGAACTAGAACAAAAATATTAATAATCAATACAAATAGAAATGAATGTTTTATCAATATATTTAAAAACAATACCATTTAATTACCTAAGAAATTGTTTTTATTTTGGTATTATTGAATTGTGGTGGGTAAAACGTTTTAAATAACCATAAGGCGGTGATGACACTATAGTACAGGGTGGGCCAGAAATAATTGTCACATTTTGTACTGTAATTATCTCTGGGAAAAGGTTTTATTTTCAAAAAGTACATTGCAGTGGCGGCTGGTGAATTTTGGCACACCCATATCTCAGTTATATTAGACATGGGACCCACATCAAATTTATATGAGTTTATAATGACATTATATAGAAAAGTTCTGCGCAAGCAGAATTAAAATTAAAGTTTGCGAAAAAAAGTTAGTTTTTAAGTGCAACCCCCAGCCTCCTGCCCCTCCAAATTAAGATAATTCAAATTAAAGTGGTACAATACTTAATTCACTGAAGTTTATCGACAAATTTCAAATTTTATTAAAAAAATTCAAGAATTACAGGTTTTATACCATTTATAATTTTTATTATTTCTTTTACTAAATTTAAAAAAATTTGAAATGGTATAAAATCTGTAATACTTGAATTTTTTTAATAAAATTTGAAATTTGTCGATAAACTTGTATTGTACCACTTTAATTTGAATTATCTCAATTTGGAGGGGCAGGAGGCTGGGGGTTGCACTTAAAAACTAACTTTTTTCGCAAACTTTAATTTAAATTCTGCTTGCGCAGAACTTGTCTATATAATGTCATTATAAACTCATATAAATTTGATGTGGCTCCCATGTCTAATAACTGAGATATGGGTGTGCCCAAAATCCACCAGCCGCCACTGGTACATTGTTTAAAAATTACATCTTACTTTGCCGAAGAGCCTTTAAATTGAAATAGAAACATTGGAGGTCTACAAAATGTATCAGTTTTTCTCCCCACCCCGTACAAACTAAACACTGATTTTTGTAAATTTTTACTTTTATTTTAGCAATAAACTTTAAAACAACTAATTTTTTTTTACATCAAATCGTTAAAAAAATCATTAACATAACTATCAAACTGTTTTAATTTAGTGTTTGTTGTCAACATCATCAATATTATTAAAATGATTAAAAAACTGTTATTTTATCAAAATCTGAACATCCCTTATAACTTCGTTTGCTTTAGTTTAGCAACTCTAATAAAAACTTGAAATAGCAAATAGGCTTTGAATAAAACAAGGAGTGGTTTTTGTAAAATCAATACTTTCCGACATACAGACTATTTTTGAGGGTTAAACAGGATATTTACAGAAAATTTGTTAAACAAATTAAAACCACGCCCTACCAACCCCTACATCTTGCGGAAGGCAATGTCCTTATGTAAACCTACGCATACTTGATCAATATTATTTGTACGCGACCCACAAAGAATATAAATGAATAAAAAAGCGCTGAATTTGCAGAACAGCCAATAGAATGCAAACAGGTACCGGTGCTTGTGCCATACAAGGCCAAAAAATTCATCAAGTGTGTCTAGTTATGCTAATTGACAATTGTGACTCAGTTCATGACTATATTTAAACAACTGCACGCCGATTACGCAATAGGTTAAAAGCATCCCACTTATGGCCAGCTTTTTATTAAATTAAACACGAATTAAAAACAATTGATTGTAAAAACCCACACGCCCATGCTATTTACGCCATAAACGCCAATACATTAAATCAAATGAACTGCTATCTTAATTAGTATTGAATTAAATGAAATAATTGAGAGCAGGCCAAGAAAAAATGCAACTTTCTTCTTGCCTTTCTACGGTAGAAATTCTACCCCTCCCAACCGTGCAATGTGCCAAGAAGTATTCTTGTATGCAAAATAAAATAAGTAACAGGCAGTAACAGCGGTAGTAGGTAAAATATCTCTTCTCTTGAGATGTTTTCAAGGCTGTTGAACCTTCAGCTGCTCGTTTCATGGCACGAAGGACTGTAAAACTGCTCAACCGTACCAAATTGTAAGACGCTTGAAGATCAAAGACCTATTTACTAAAATTATTTTTAACGCTCGATAGATTCGTTAATTTAAATGAATTTATTTAAAAACCGTTAAATGTCAAACCGCCAGCCGATAAGATATTTTTCGCGAGATTAATTTTATGACGGAACTGTACCAATACGCTGTTGCTCTGCAACCGCCTTTTTTAACGGCCATTAATACTAGCCTATGAAAAAACATCTGCCTTATTAAGGGATTATTGTTATTTTAAAATGATTATTTAAATAAATAAATATGAAACGTCAAATATTTATACACGTAGGCAAGTTATAAAAAAGGAAGACGCATAAAAAAACTTGACTGAAAAATTATCTAAAAATTTATAAACAATACCACTCGAGATAAATTATTAAAAATATTAAAAAAAAAAATTAATTATTAAAGAGAAATTGTACTCCTAGAAGTGGGGAACAATTGAGAAAAACCGTTACAAGATGCCGGGTGAGTCGATGTTTTTAGGTCGATCAATACAAGCCGGCTGTGCCAACAAATGCCGCATAATTCTTAAAATTGACCGTTTTCAATGAAACTTTTACCGAAAAAACTTTAAATATCCCTCATTGTAACGTAAATTAGTAAAATATATCACTAAAACACTTTTTTAACAGTAAAAATCGCAGTAGACTACGCCAAACAAAATGGCTGGGCGCGACTTTCACGTATTTCAACGAAAAACAACGAAATAAGTAATAAAAATTGTACTTACTTTGGCTCCAATCTGGTTTCCGCATTGTCCGGCTTGGATGTGTACAATTTCCCTCATTTTTGTTGTGTGTTATAAAAATTACTTGAACTATTAGAAAACACAAACGTTCTTCACGCTGTGGTCAATCTGAAATGCGGTGCGTCGAACGGTTTTCGCTTTTATAGGAACCCCCACCCCCGTCAATGGCAGCACTGGTTTTAACGTAAGTTACTAGATTTGGTTTTCGATTTGAATGTAGGGCGTTGTTTTGTATTAAACAATGAATAATGTGCTTTAAATCTTGAGATTTTCAATGACAAATATAAACACGCCAATATCACACCGTATGTGTGGGAATCGCGACTTTTATTTGCTAATTGGACAGATTTTCATTAAAATAACATTGTTATCAAATAGGTGGCTATTTGAAATTGACGTTTAGTTATTTTTTTTTCATGACACTTAAAAAATTGATAGAAACATCTGTTTTATTGTTTAGAATGATAATTTTGATGGGCAAAATGATTTTATTTGCTGTTTTAGGTCATACAAATTTAATTACTTAGTTAAATTAAAAAAATAATTAATGGGGACGTTTTTAGAATATAAAAAATAGTGAATTTTTTGTGTGGGGAATAAAATTAAAAACATACTATAAATAACAAATTCAGCAAACTAACCCTAACTTTATTTACCTCTGTGTGTCACGCGAACGTTAAGGGAAAATTTTCCCTTTGAAGGAAATAGGTTTTTCAATTTATTTGGTAAACTTACGTAGGTACTTATTAAATTTAATAATAAAAATATAAGTTATCTTTATAGGTAAACTTTGTATTGAAATAATAAAGTTAAAATATTTATAACACATTTTTTCCTGGAAAGTAGCAATCAATATATTCCCAGTTTTAAGTGCAATTGCTAAAGAAAATCTCATATTTCGTAAGAAATTTTTAAATTAGAAAATTTTCTAAATGTTCTTAAAATAAAAACAAAATAATTTGGTGACTTCAAGGTTAAATTAATTTATTTTTTATTTGATCATAGTAATTGTTTTTATAATTATCTACCTAGGTATTCTTGGCCATTTAAAATTGAAACATTACCGTTATTATTCTATTAAATTGACAAGACCTTTAGATAGGTATAGGTCTATCTGGACTATAAAAAAACACCCACATTTTGTGCCTATCGTACAATTCATACACATGTACATAGATTATTTATTAATTAACTATTTTATTACTTATGAAAACTTACATGGTGGTATCTAAAATATATGAATTTAAAAGGTGATAAAATTATGCATGCACAGGGTGGGTTCATACCTATATTTTTTTTGTAAAGTATATCGAAAATATTGTTTGGGGTGACAAAAAAAAATTATGGTAAAAGTTTGTTTGAGTACATAATATTAATATTAAGAGGTCTATCATCGCAATTTTAGATTTTTTTCCCGAGCGAGTTTTTGCCTGAGAACTCCCAAACCATTGAGTTTAACAAAATTGACTTAAAATTGTTTTTTGAAGAAAATCAAATGCTCTACAAAAAAGGTTTAATTGGAATTTCCCTTCAGATGAACCGTTTTCTTACAATCATGCCTTAAAAAATGGTATAGTTTTACAATTTGATCTTTTAACTTTGGAATTTTGTAATTCATGTAAAAATCAGTATCCGTAAAAAACCGATAGATATTCTTATGGGAAATCAAATGCTCTACAAAAAAAGTCTTTTAACATTTTTGGCTAAATTCATTCCATCAAAAGTTATACAAGGTTAAATATTAAGTCAAAACGAAATTCTTGTTTTTTCCGCTCTAGATTTTTTTTTGGGCCAGTTAAAAACTTGGATTCTTTTATTGATGATAATCTTTATGTTATTGATAAAATTACTGAAAATTAAAAATAAATAACACATTAGAATTTTTTCACTTTAAACATTTATAAAGAAAAAAATCAAATTATCATCCATAATTATTAAAAAAAATATATATACCTACAGAGGAAAAAACAAGAATTTCGTTTTGACTTCAACTTTAACCTTAAATAACTTTTGATTGAGTGAATTTAGCCAAAAATGTTACGAGGCTTTTTTTGTAAAGCATTTGATTTCCCATAAGAATATTTATCGGTTTTTTATGGGTACTGATTTTTACATGAATTACAAAATTCCAAAGTTAAAAGATCAAAATGTAAAACTATACTATGTTTAAGGCATGATTTTAAGGAAACGGTTCATCTGACGGAAAACTTTATTTTAACCTTTTTTGTAGAGCATTTAATCTTATATAAAAAATATTTCTGAGTCAATTTTGTTAAACCCAATGGATTGGGAGTTCTGAGACAAAAACTTGCTGAGGAAAAAAAAATTAAAATTGCGATGATAGACCTGAGGTCTTATGGACTCAGACTTTCAAAATAATTTTTTTGTAACCCAAAACCATATTTTCGATTTTTTTGGCCCACTCTAAGGTACATGGTGTCTGTTTTTTAAGGCTAAGCAGGGTATATCTCTCGTATCTTTAGAGATGCCGATCAATGAACTAAAAAGAATTTGTCTTAAATGATAATTATTAGTTTTAGTTTTTTAAATTTTATTTTTGTTTAAATAACGGTTTTATTTCAAAAACACTTTCTCAAGGGGAATTCAAATCTGCCAAAATATTTTGGCTAACTTTCAAAACTGCCGAGATAAGATAAGCGAGATACCTATGCTAAGCTTGGGACACCCTGTATACCTACCAAAAAAAAATAGGTATTTACTTGAAAAGAAATCAAAAGTATTAAAAATCCATCTTGCAAGTATTTTTTTAATTGAATTTAATTAAAAAAAACAACTTTTCATATTTAGATAGAGTTATTGTTTATGATTATAATCATGGCCACTATAGTAACCGAAATGATGGTTTTCGTTTTGGCCAAAAATTTGCCAAAACCGAAACTAGTATTGTCGGCCCGACAATGTCAGGCACTTTTATTTAAATAATTTTTACCTACCTTGCATTCCAAAAATTAAATAGTTTTCTAATAAATTAAAGTCTTTTACTTAATCTAATCTGTTACAATTGTAGGTATCTAATGTTTATTATACCTTTAAAGCTAAAAAACACTAGATTTCAGGGTAAAATAAATATTTAAATGGCCGAATATTCAGTACAGCATTACGATTTCTGTCAGATCGATTTAACCTTAATTTCTACTTATATTAATTGTATGTTTCATGTATCTTTTAAGCAATAAAATAATTGTGTTGTGCCTTGAAGATAAAATGTTGTATGAAATTCGGCAAAGGGGTTTTTGTGCATCGCTCAATTGTAACACAACTTTAGGCTCAGCACAAAAAGACTCACTTTTTGGCCTAATGACATTTATTAATGATATTTATAAATAACTATTACTACATATTTTAGTATGGAAAAGTCTACAAAACGTTTTTTTTTTCGTTCTATGTTTTTTAAATATTTGTTGCTATTTTTAAAGTGTTTTTTTAATAAGTTAATAATTAATTAGTAGAGACCGGATTCTTAGCAAAATGCCTTTCACAATAATTGTTATTAATTATAATTGTTATATATTATAATTATAATTGTTATTATTATAGCCCGTGTAGTGGAAATTTTTTTGGTAACTTTTAGTGCAATTCGCCTTTTTTCGACTTAAAAAAAGGCCTAAAGGGCCTAAGTGCTTTCCTAAAATAAAAACATAATGCCTTTTTAGTATGTAATTTTAATTTTTTTTAATGAAAAAATATAGGTAGGTATAACTAGTTTGCCATATATTAGTGCTGAACATTAGATCCGGATCCTTTTTCAATCCGGATCAGATCCGGATCTGATCCCGATTTTTCAACGTGCATAATCCGGTTCTGGATCTATCCGGATATAATACTCCGATTTTAGATTCGGAGCAAAGATCCGAAATATGGATCAAAGATCCGAGATCCGAATACTGGATCTTTGTAATGCTAAACATCAGATCCGGATCTTCTTCAATCCGGATCAGATCCGGTTTTTTTTTCATTTCGGATCAGATCCGGAGCAAAGATCCGAAATCCGAATACACAACTGCTTAAAAGAGTTTTTTCTCAATAATATGCTTATAATTATTAATAATATAATTTATAATATATACTCTCTAAAAATGAAACAGTGGATTTTCACTGATTGACAGTGCATATTAACTATTTGCCGCAGTGATAAGTATTCCACTAGCAATTAGTGAATACTCACTTTTTCATGTAACGATTTCTTTGCACTAATTTATTTAGTGGAAATTACACTGTACAAATTAGTGAAATAGGTTTAGTTCAAAAAAGTTAAAATTTCACTATTTTATGTCGAGAGTTCCGGAAAACTAGTGATAATAAAAAACACCAATTTGGAGAAGTTCAAATTTCACTAATTTATATTGAAAAACACTAATTTTACAGTGAATAATAACTCACTGACGGAAATAGTAAAAATTTCACTGTTTCACTTTTAGAGAGTATAATATCATTTATTAGTTAATTCTAAGTCTATTTTCTCCATACAAAAATATTTGGCCGCTTCTCTTTTAACAAAAACTACGTCGATTGTTCACCAAGACAAACTTAAGATGTCATAATAAGGAATTAAGGTAATTATTATTTTTGATACCAAAGATTCTTATTTTTGACTATTATTTGCTATTTGATCTCTTTTAAAGAATATTAAATATAGGTAGATACTGTACTGTAGAATATTTGTTTTGTTTATAATACAATAATGTTAAAGTATTTAATAAGATCTGAGATCCAGATCTAAGATACGATATCCGGATCTAAGATCCTATATCCGGATCTAAGATACGATATCCGGATCTCAGATCTTAGATCCGGATCTCAGATCTAAGATCCGGATATCGGATCCAGATCTGAGATCCGAATCCGGTTCCTATATTTAAATCCGGATACGGATACATTCGGATCCGTTTTTTTTTTCAAGGATCCCCGATCCGTAAAAAAATCGGATCCGTGCACTACTACCATATATAGCTATATATAGCTATAGCCAAACGTACACATGTGCACTATTAAATATTTATTCTTGTAATTTTTATCGAAGAACCTCATAAAATAGAAATTTTTGAATTAACTTAATTCTATCAGCCTTTTAAAGGAAAGCATTTCGTTTTATGGGAAATATGACAGGTAACAAAACACCTACAATTGTATTT